CCACCATCAGTTCTGAGGAAGGGTCACCGGACCCGAAACGTTAACTCTGTTTTCTCCTTCACAGATGCTGCCAGACCTGCTGAGCTTTTCCAGCACTTTGTTTTTGTTTCAATTTGTTTGGTTCCCCGCCACTATGTAGTGAAACCAGCCATTTTGAATGTAAACCTCTCACTCCTTTAATCTGGTAAATTAAAATGAATTTCTCAGACAATCAGCAATTGGAATTAGTGTGCCTGATAACAGATCTGGTGGTCATTAACTCACATTTATTCAAGTAATCTGAGATTGAAACATGTGGGTTTACTGGTGATGTATTTAAGATTAGAGTGCTTTTTACACATTGTAACTGTGAATCTGTGGAAGACACTCAGATCTGCTTGTCATTCGTTTTCTACAGTCCTCTATTAATCTTGATCGAGGGCACACAAGTCTTCATTTTCCTGAAGCAAACAGAGTTGGAATAAAGGAGTTATGAATAATGGTGAACAATTTTATGAAAGCATATTCCCACCAGAGAACTATATCTAAATTGGGAAGCAAAGCAAGGCTTTTCATTGATTTCTTTTGCTCAAATACATTTCAAATCATAATTAATGGATTGCATTGCCCTTTACAACTTTCTGCCTCAGTACTATAAAGGTAAAATGTACAACTATAATGAGCTTTCAGTAAATTTTCTCAACATATATTTGCACAACTCCTAAGTCCTGATCAAATGAGCTCAGCATCAAAAGCCAAGCTTACTCCATCGCCCAGTGCTTCAAAATATTTTTAGCCTACATGTTTTTCTCAGTCATGCTTTAACATCGTACACTACGCAAAATGTTCAGTCAAACTTTCCATACCAACCTCTTAAGCTTTATTTTACTAGAACTACAACTGCTCTCGACTGTTGTTGCTTATATCCATTTAAGGTTCCGAAGCCTAATGTCATATTCTCTGAATTCTTTTACCTTCCATTCTATCAATAAATTGGTTTAGGAGTCTCATTACAAATCAGTCCTTAACAAAAGCTCACATTTATAAAGGACATTTCCTGTAATAAAGTATCCCAAGGTTCAGTACATGGGAACGTCGGACTTACAAATAGCAAGGCAATTTAGCCTTTTGAGCTTGTGCCACCATTTAATAAGATCATCACTGATCTGATTGTGGTCTCGTCTCCACTTTCCTGTTGATCAAAAATCTATCAGAACATCAAATACATTCAAGACTCAGCCTCTACTATCTTCTGGGGAGAAAATTTCACATACTAAAACCCTCAGAGAAAATAATTCTCTTCAAATCTGTCTTAAAAGGGAGGCCTTTAATTCTGAACGAGTCCCCTGTCTTCAGTCACTGCACCAATTGAAAACATCCTCCAAGTATCCTCACTATTCAGTTTCTTTAAGACCTTATATATTTCAATAAGATAACCTCTCATTGTTCTAAATTTCAATGGGTATAGACCTAGCCTTATAAGCCCTTCATCCCAGAAATGCACCAAGTCAACCTCCTCTGAACTGCTCCTCAAGCAATTACATCTTTCTTCAAATAAGGAGACCAAAACTGACCACAATGCACAGATGCAGTCTCATCAATGCCTGTATAACTACAGTAAAATTCCCCCACTTTTATATTCCATTCCCTTTCAATAAATGATCTTCCATTCCTCTTCCTAATCACTTGCCGAATCTGCACACTAATTTTGTGATTCATGTACCAGGACATCCAGATCCCTCTATACCACAGAACTGATCTAGGTGTTTCTGAGTTCCTGCGTCCGCAGTTCTTTTGTTTTCTTCACATTATTTGAAATGTGGCCTAACTTAAGTCCTATACAGCTGCAACAAGTCTTGCCAACTTTTATACTCTATATTCCAACCGATGAAGGCAAGCATACCACAGGCTTCTTGACTACCATATCCATTTATGTTGCTACTTTCAGGGAACTGTAGACGTGTACACCTAATTCTCTCTGTGTGTTGATGGTTTTAAGGATTCTGCCATTTATTGAATACATTGCTCCTGCATTAGATCTCTCAAAATGCTGCACCTCACATTTGTTTGGATTAAACTCCATCTACCATTTCTCTGCCTGAGTCTCTAGCATACCTATATGCTGCTGTATTCTCTGGCAATCCTCCTCATTATCTACAGTCGCCCCAATCTTTGTGTTGTCTGCAAACTTACTAATTAAGGCACCTAATTCTCCTCCAAATCATTTATATATATTATAAACAACAGGGGTCCCAGCACTGATACCTGTGGAACATCACTGCTCACAGACCTCCAGTCACAAAAGCCCTTCTACCACTGCTCTCTGTCTTGTATGACTAGCCAGTTCTGCATCCATCTTACCGCTCACTGCGGATCCCATGTGACTTCACCTTTTGTTATCAGCTGCAATGACAGACCTTGTCAAAGGCCTTGCTAAGGACTATATAGACAACATCCACTGTCCTGGCCTCATCAAATCATCTTTGTCACTTTCTCAAAAAACTCAATTGTTTTTGGAACACAACCTTCCCAGCACAAAGCCATGGAGCTATTGCTGAGAAGTCCATATTTTTCAAAATATGGTCACTCTTCTAAAGGATGTTGTTAAACTTGAGAGGGTACAGAAAAGATTTACCAGGATGTTACCAGGACTGGAGGATTTGAGCTGTAGGGAGAGGCTGATTAGGCTGGGGCTTTCTCCGCTGGAGCGTCGGAGGCTGAAGGGTGACCTTACAGAGGTTTATAAAATCATGAGTGGCATGGATATGGTGAACAGCTGAAGTTTTTTTTCCCCAGGGTAGGAGAGTCCAAAATTAGAGGGCATAGGTCTAAGGTGAGAAGGGAAAGATTTTAAAGACCTGAGGGATAACTTTTTCACGCAGAGGCCAGTGCATATATTGAATGAGCTGCCAGAGGAAGGTGTAGAGGTTGGTACAATTACAACATTTAAAATGCATCTGGACGGGTATATGAATAGGAAGGGTTTAGAGGATATGGTCCAAATGCTGGCAAATGGGACTAGGTCAGATTGGGATGTCTGGTTGCCGCAGACAAGTTGGATTGAAGGTCTGTTTCCATGCTGTATGACTCTATGGCTCTAAATGTGAGTAAATTCTACCCCTAAGAATCTTCTCCAATAATTTCCCTACCACTGATGTCTGGCTTACCTGCCTGTAATTTCCTGTATTATCCCTGTTCCCCTTCTTAAACAAAGGAACAATGTTGGCTATTATCCAGTCCTTTGGGGCCTTTCCCAAGAGGATACAAAGATTTCGTACAAGGCCCCAGCAATTTCCTCACCTGCCTCCCTCAGATTCTGGAATAGATCCCATCAGGTCCTGGGAACTTGTCTACCTTAAAGCTTTTTAAGACACCCAACACCTTTTTTATGCTGACGTGCTCTAGAATATCAACATATCGCTCCCAAGATTCACCATTCTTCTCCTTTGTGAATACTAATGTAAAGTATTTGTTAAGGACCTCACTGCTTTTTCCAGCTTCACGCATAAATTTCCTCCTTTGTCATTGAATAGACCCACCCTTTCCTCAGCTAACTTCTTGCTCCTTACATATGTATCAAATACCTTGGGATTTTCCTTAATCCCAATCGTCAAAGACATTTCATGGCATTTTTAGCCCTCTTAGTTCCTTGTTTACAGTTCTTTCCTGCTATCTTTGTATTCTTTGAGCGCAATGTTTAACTTCAATTTCCTAAACCTTACTTATGCCTCCTTTTTCTTTTTGATTAAGCTCTCAATTTATCTCGTCATCATTATCTTTCATTTTCACAGCAACATGCTGGTCCTGAACTCTAATCAATTGGCCTTTAAAAGATTTCCACATGCCAGATGTGGATTTACCCTCAAACAGCTGCCTCCAATCTACATTCTCCAGTTCCTGCCTAATATTGTGGTAGTTAGCCTTCCCCCAATTTAATACTTTCCATCAAGGACTACTCTTGCCCTTATCCATAAGTAACTTTCACTTTACAGAATTATGGTCACTCTTCCCAAAATACTCCCCCATTGAAACTTTGATCACTTGGCTGGGCTCATTCCTCAATGCCAGGTCGACTATTGTCCCTTCCCTAGTTGGATTATTTACATAATATTTCAAAATGCCATCCTGGGCACACATCACAAACTTACCCCCTCACCCAAGCTCCTGGCACTAAGTGAGTCCCAGTCAATATCAGGGAAGTTAAAATCACCCCGCACAACAAACCTGTTGTTTCCATAATCTGTTCACATATCTGTTCCTGTATCACCCGCTAGCTGTTGGGAAGCCTGTAGTACAATTGCAATGAAGTCATTGCACCCTTTCTATTCTTGAGCTCTGTTTACATGGCCTTGCTGGATAAAGGTGTTGTCCCTCAATACAGCTGTGATGTTCTTGTTTATCAGTAATGCATTTCCCACACCTCTATTACATCTGTATTTCCCCTGAAACATCTAAATCCTGGATCATTAAGCTGCCATCTTGTCCCTCTCTCAATTAAGTCTTTGTAATAGCTACAATACCATAGTTATATGTATTAATCCAAGCTCTAAGTTCATCTGCCTTACCTGTCATACTCCTCACATTAAAATAGATGCACCTCAGTGGCTCACTAGTCCTGCTGTGTTCAGTAAACTCTCCCTGTCTGTTCTTTCTCTCAGCCTTACTAGCCCTAGCCTCTGACTCCTCTTCGGTCATTTTACTTGCTGACCTACTACTCTGGTTCCTGCACCCCCCATGCCCTGTCATACTGGTTTAAACCCTCCTGAGTGGCACCAGCAAATCTCCCTGCCAGGATATTGTTGCCCCTCTAGTTTGGGTGCAATACATCCTTCTTGTACAAATCCCATGTTTCCCAGAAGACATCCCAGTGATCCACATACCGGAAGCACTCCCTCCTACACCAGATCCTTAGCCATGTATTTAACTGTAATATGTTCCTACACATGGCTTCACTAGCACATGGCACTGGAAGTAATCCCGAGATTACAATGCTTTTCAACTTCCGACCTAACTCCCTTTGCAGAACCTCATCTCTCTTTCTGCCTAAGTCGTTTGGTACCAACAGGGACCATAATTTCTGGCTGCTCACCAGTTGTGGTCCATATTGGTACCAAACTCTTTACAAACTTTTTCACGAAGGACAGGTGATACGGAATGGTCCAAAAACTACAAGAAGTAAGTACTTTATCTCTCTTCATGCATTACTCACTCAGTCTACAAATCTGGTTCCTGAGTAGCCACTGAGCCTATGCCTGCGATCGTCTTCTCAATCATGGTATCTGAGTTGACTTCTCCCAGATTCCTCCTCCTCTCCCAGGCTAACCTTTTTACCCATTCCTTTGTGTGCCCATCTGTTTTTCTCTCTCTTTCTGGGCTCTATCTTTACCTATTGTTTACCCCTTCCCCCTCCCCCCAGCCCATCTTCAGCACATATACCAACCTTTTCCTAGTGTTTCTTGTAAAACACGATACAGAACAGTGTGGCAGCAAAAGAGAAGCTATAACCTCATTTCAATCCATTTCAAATCTTCTGTATATGTTTATGTTTATTTGAATGGATGAATAGTGCCTTGATTCAATAAAGAGTAAACATAAAATATTATGAAGTGTGGGAAATATGAAATTAAAACTTCCCCAGTTATACAACTCAAGAGTCTGTTTAAAAACGGAGCCTATTCCAATGGCATAGACCCTTCTATGCTGGTAAGTGTTTCATGAATCATAACACTTCCTTCCTATGACACATGGCTCAGGTTAATACTCCAGAGATTTTTTGTTTCAGATTTCTTCATTTGAGCCCCACTTCTCAAACTCTTTGAGCAAAATATTGTTCCTACTTCTACCAATGTCACTGGTAGCAATGTAGAGCACATCAATTCATCCTCCCCTTTAACTCCAATTCCATCAACTGCAGATGATGACTTTAACCCTGGCTTTAGGCAGGTAATGCAACTTTTGGACCTCCTATTCATGGCTGCAGAGAATAATATATAACCCCCTGACTGTACTGTCTCTCACTATTATTACATTCCTTTTCACTTCCAGAACTTGAATGGCATCTGCAGTCTGGTGCCATGACGAGTTTTCTCAACCATCCTTCAGTCCATACTCTCACCTGCAGACCTAACAAGTACCTTGCACTTACTGGGCAAAGTCAAGAGCTGAGGCTCCTTCATTATTATGTGCTGGATCCCTGTTCCTGATTACCTGCAATTACACCCTCTAAATCACTAAAGCTGTGACAGTGTCCTGGAACAAAGCATCCAGGGTACTCTCCAACTCCCTGATGCCCACAATGTATGCAGCTCAGCCCTCAGCTCAGCAACTTTGAACCTAAGTGCCAATAATTTTGAACTCTCACCTCGGATTCCTTGTCTTCATCAGAAGAAGACATGATGCATGTCTCAGTTGTGTCTCTAGGTTCAGCTTCTAGAAAGGTAATATTATTTAACATGTTATTTATTAAACATCAATATTTTAATATTTAGAAATACTATTTGTATTGGATTACAGACAACCTTTAATATGATTCACTTCCTATCATTTTTGGACTTTTTAAATACTCACCTGGCAGAGCAGTTTATTTTACCCACTTGTGGGATGTGGGTATTGCTGGCCGGGCCAGCATTTATTGCCCTTCCCGCGTTGCCCATGAGAAGGTGGTGGTAAGCTGTCTTCTTGAACTGTTGCAGTCCATGTGCTGTGGGTTGACCCACAATGCCCTTAGGGAGGGAATTCCAAGATTTTGACCCAGTGACAGTGAAGGAACACAATATATTTCCAAGTCAGGATGGTGAGTGGCTTAGAGGGGAACTTGTAGGTGGTGGTATTCCCATGGATCTGCTGCCGTTATCCTTCTGGATAGAGGATTTTTGGTGAATTTCTGTAGTGCATCTTATAGATTGCAAACACTGCTGCTACTGAACATCAGTGGTGGAGGCAGTGGATGCTGGTGGATGTGGTGCCAATCAAGCTGCTGCTTTGTCCTGGATGGTGTCAAGCTTTCTTGCTGTTGTTGCAGCTGCACCCGTCCAAGCAAGTCGGGAGTATTCCATCACACTCCTGACTCGTGCCTTGTAGATGGTGAACAGTCTTTGGGGAGTCAGGAGGTGAGTTACTCACCTTTGACCTGCTCTTGTAGCCATGGCATTTATGTGGTGAGTAAAGTTGAGTTTCAGGTCAATGGTAACCCTCAGGATGTTGATAGTGGGGGATTCAGTGATGTTAACACCATTGAATGCCGAGGGGTGTGGTTAGATTGTCTCTTATTGGTGATGGTCATAGCCTGGCAGTTGTTACTTGCCACTTGTCAGCCCAAGCCTGGATATTGTCCAGACCTTGTTGCATGTGAACATGGACTGCTTCACTGCCTGAGGAGTTGCGAATAGGCATGCATTAATTGGCGAACATCTCTACTTCTGACCTTATGGTGGAAGGAAGGTCATTGATGAAGCAGCTGAAGGTGGTTGGGCCGAGAACACTACCCTGAGGAACTCCTGCAGAGATGTCCTGGAACTGAGATGACTGACCTCCAACAACCACAACCATCCTCCTATGCACCAGGTATGACTTCAACCAGTGGAGAGTTTGCCCCTAATCCCCAATGATTCCAGGTCTTTTATTCAGGGTCCTTGATGGCACTGTTGTATATGAGTCATATAAATGATTTGGATGAGAATTTAGGGGGCAAAGTTAGTAAGTTTGTGACACACCAAAATTGGTGGTATAGTCAATAGTGAAGAAGGTTATCCAAGATTACAGAGGGATCTTGATCAAAGTTTTTGAGAAGATTTGTAGCTCGGGTTGTGGATGAGGTTGTAGACTTACTCGTGGAGCTGGTGTGTATGATTGCAGATGTTTCATCACTCTGCTAGGTAACATCATCTGTGCATCTCCGGTGAAGCGTTGGTGTTCTGTCCCGCTTGTTATTTATATGCCCCGGTTTGCTGGGGTGATTGGCACCAATTCCAGTTTTGTATTACAGTGGTTTGTATATCAGGTCCAGTTCAATGTGTCTGTTGATGGAGTTCCAGTTGGAATGCCAGGCCTCCAGAAATTCCTGGCATGTCTCTGTTTGGCTTGTGCTATTATGAACGTGTTGTCCCAGTTGAATTTGTGTCCTTCTTTGTCCATGTGTACTGAGACCAGTGAGAGCTGGTTGTGTCTCTTGGTGGCTAGTTGGTGTTTATGTATTGTTATTGTCAGTTTTAATCCAGTTTCTCACAGTACTTGCATGGTATTTTGTATTTTATGTTGGTTTTATTGGTTGTGGGTATGGGATCCTTTACGTTCGTCAGTAGCCATTGTAAGATGGTTGTTGGCTTGCGGGCTACCCTGATACCTAGGAGTCTGAGCAGTCATCTCTGATATGTCTCTGATGTACGGCAGGGTGACTAGTGTGTCTGGCAGTGTTGTGTCTTCTTGTTGTGGTCTTATCGTGGAAGTAACGGCAGATTGTGCTTTTTGGGTAACAATTCCTTTTAAAAACTCCGTATAACTCTGTGTTCTGCTTTGTGCAGTTCCAGGTTGCTGCAGTGTGTGGTGGCTCATTTGAATAAATTCTTGATGCGGCTCCATTTATGGGTGTTGGGGTGGTTGCTGGTGTAATTAAGTATCTGGTCCGTATGGGTGGTCTTTCTGTATGCACTAGTCTGGAGTTCCCCAGAACTGGAGGCCTGGCATTCCAAACGGAACTCCATCAACAAACACATTGAACTGGAGCCGATATGCAAACCACTGAAAAACAGAACTAGAAGTGATGCAAACTACCCCAGCAAACCGAGGCATATAAATAACAAGCGGGACAGAACACCACTGCTTCACTGGGGCATACTGACGATGCTACCTAGCAGGGTGAAGAAATATCTACAACAAGCACACTGGCTTGACGAGCAAGTCTACATAGCTTGATCAACTGGGTCAAAGGGCTGACGAGTGGGAGATGCAGTTTAATTTGGATAGATCTGAGAAATTGCATTTTGATAAAACAAGCAAGGGCAAGACTTATACAGTTAATGATAGGGCCCTGGGGAGTGCTGTCGAACAAAGAGACCTAGGGGTTCAGGTGCATAGTTCTTTGAGAGCTGCGTCGCAGGTAGACATGGTGGTTCAGAAGGTGTTTAGCATGCTGGCCTTCATTGCTCACAACACTGAGTATAGGAGTTGGGATGTCATTGTTGAGGTTGTACAGGTCATTGGTGAGTTGGAGTACTGTGTACAGTACTGGTTGCCCTGCCAAAGGAAGGATATTATTAAATTGGAAAGAGTTCAGAATAGATTTACAAGGATGTTGCTGGGACTGGAGGGTTTGAGTTATAGGGAGAGGCTGGACAAGCTGTGACTTCTTTCAATGGAGCTCAGGAGGTTAAGGGGTGGCCTTGTAGAAATTTATAAAATCATGAGGGACATAGATGAAGTGAATAACAAAGGTCTTTTCCCTAGGGTGGGGGAGTTCAAACTAGGAGGCATATTTTGAAGGTGAGAGGGGCAAGATTTAAAAGGGACCTGTGGGGAAACTTTTTCACAATGAGTGTGGTTCGTTTGTGGGATGAACTGCCAGAGGAAATGATAGATGCAGGTAGAGTAACAACATTTAAAAGACATTTCGATAGGTGCATGAATAGGAAAGGTTTAGAGGGATACGGACCAAACCCATGGAAATGGGACTAGTTTAAATTGGAAAACTTGGTCTGCATGGATGAGTTGGGCCAAAGGGTCTCTTTCCATGCTGTGTGGCTCTGTGACTCTATAAATGTGGTCTTGATGTCAAGAGCTGTAACACTCAATTCACCTCTGGAATTCAGCTCTTTTGTCCATGTTTGAACCAAGGCTGTAATGAGGTCAGGAGCTGAGTGGCCCTGGCAGAACCCAAACTGGGCGTCACTGAGCAGGTTATTGCTGAGCAGGTGCTGTTTCCATCACTTTACTGATGATTCAGAGTAGACAAATGAGGCAGTAATTGGCTGGGTTGGATTTGTCCTGCTTTTTTGTGACATACCTGGTCAATTTTCCCCATTGTCTGGTAGATGTCAGGGTTATAACTGTACTGGAAGAGCTTGGCTAGAGCAGTGGCAATTTTGGAATACGTCTTCAGTACAATTGCCGGAATGTTGTCATGGCCCATAGCCTTTGCAGTATCCAGTGACTCTAACGATTTCTTGATATCATGAGGAGTCAATCGAATTGGTTGAAGACTGCTATCTGTAATGCTGGGGACCACTGGAGGAGGCCGAGATGGATCTTCTGGCAGAAGTTTACTGTGAATGCTTCAGCCTTACCTTTTGCACTGATGTGCTGGGCTCTTCCATCATTGATATTTGTGGAACCTGCCCCCAATTTAGTTGTTTAATTGTCCACCACCATTCAAAAATGGATGTGGCAGAACTGCAGAGCTTTGGTCTGATCCAATGAGATCGCTGAACTCCATCTACCACTTGTTGCTTTATGTTGTTTGGCATGCAAGTAGTCCTCTTTGGTAGCTTCACCAGGTTGACATGTCATTTTTAGGTATTCCTGGTACTCCTCCTGGCATGGTCTCCTGCATTCTCCATTGAACCAGGAATGATCCTCTGGCTTGATGGTAATGGTTGAGTGGGGGATATGTCAGGACATGAGGCTGCAGATTGTGTTGGAATAAAGTTCTGCTGCTATTGATGGCCCACACCACCTTGTGGTTTCCCAATCTGAGTTGCTAGATCTGTTTAAAGTCTGTCCCATTTAGTATGGGGATAGTGCCACACAATGTGATAAAGGTTATTTTCAATGTGAAGGCAGGTCTTTGTCTCCATAAGGACTATGCAGTGGTCACTCTTAGCAACACTATCATGGATGGATGTATCAGCTGTTGGTAGATTCTGAGGATGAGGTCAAGTATCTTGTTAGTTCCCTCACCACCTGCTACAGACCCAGTCTAGCACCTATGTCCTTTAGGATGTGACTAGCTCTATCAGTAGTGCTTCTGCTGAGTCACTCTTGGTGGCGGGCATTGAAATCCCCCACCCAGAGTATATTTTGTGTCCTTGCCACCCTTAGTGCTTCCTCCAAGTATTGTTCAACATGGAGGAGTGCTGATTCATTAGCCAAGGGAGGACACTACATAGTAATCAGCAAGAGACTTCCTTGTCATGTTTAACCTTAAGACATAAGACTCCATGGAATCTGGAGTCAATGTTGAGGTCTCCCAGGGCAACTCCCTCCCAACTGTGTACAACTGTGCCACCACCTCTGCTGGGTCTATCCTGCTGATGGGACAGGACATATCCCGGACTAGTGATGGTGGTGTCTGGGGCATTGTCTGTAAGGTATGATTCCGTGAGTATGACTATATCAGGCTGTTGTTTGACTAGTCTGTGAGACAGCTCTCCCAACGTTGGCACTAACCCCTAGATGTTAGTGAGGAGTAATTTGCAGAGTTGACAGGGCTGTTTCTGCCATTAATGTTTCAGGTGCCTAGCTTGATGCTAGGTCAACTATTCATTTCAGTTTTGGTACGAGTCCATTGAATTAAAATTATTATTGTTTATTCTCAAAGGTATTCACATGAGTACAATGAAAAGTTTACAAAGTCGCAGCTTACAGCACCACCTTAAGTACACAACTGTACCTAGGTACATAGTCTTTGGAATAAATTAGAAAAATAAATAAGTAAAACGTCCATCATTACAGGCCATCGCGGCTTTTTAGGTACAAAAGGTATCTCAGTACAAAATCTTAGGAATAAATTGCCACTAGATGTTTGTAAGGAGGACTTTTCAGGGTTTACAGGGCTGTTTATGCCATTGTCTTTTCCTGTGCCTTGGTCAATGCCAGGTGGTCTGTCTTAGACTTTGTAGTGATACAACTGAGTAGCTTGCTAGGCCATTTCAGAGGGCAGTTGAGAGTCACTCATATTGCTGTGGGTCTGGAGTCACGTGTAGGCCAGACCAAGTAAAAATTGCAGATTTCCTTTCCTAAAGGACGTTAGTGAACCAGATTGGTTTCTCGACAATCGGCAGTGGTTTCATGCTCATCATTAGATTCTTAGTTCCAGAAATTTATTGAATGATTAAATGGCCTAATTCTGCTCCTAAACCTTATGGTCTTAAAATTCTGGATCATGTGACTAACATGGAAATTGTACACCAGATTTTAACCATTCAGATACATTATCGCTGCAGATAATTTAGTATTGGTTCCAGATTTTGGAAAAGTTCACTGGCAAGAATTAAATTGGAAGGTTGGGAAGGGCTCCAGGCAAGAAGAATCTTGAGTCTGATGAAGGGTCATTGGACCCAAAATGTTAACTCAGCTTTCTCTTCACAGATGCTGCAAGAATGGCTGAGTTTCTCCAGCTTCTTTTTGTTGAAGACGGCTGTACGATGGACAGATATTGTATGTTTCTTCAACAGAGGAGTGCAGACAATGAAGTTAAACCAAACTGTCTTTGACAGATTAATTTCAAAAGGAAATAGTATACTGAATATAATATGGGTAAGTGTTAAAAGAATAGGAAAGAATATAAGGCACTATTAAATGGTAAATCAACAATAATAATAGTATTTCATTTATAGCCAAAATGAGAGATCCAGCAGGGCAGGACAGTGGATTTTTGTGGATATTCTGCATTTATTTCACAAATGAAGACCTTCCTAAGATGTCAGTTGTGATAGACAGATATACCTTTAAAATTGATTCCATTCAAAATAATGCTGAAATAGTGTCAACCAGGATCAAGAAAGCTTCCTACAGTGCAGAAATTGCCAATGTCTTAATGCCCCTTAATACTAGAATGCAAAGTGAGAGGTCACCCTAATGAACATATTGCATATTGAAGCTCTGGTTCCCCTCCTGCCTAAAATACATTTGAATCTTTTGTTCACAGGTCCCTTTTATAAAAGGCTGGGAGGAAAATCTTGGACAGGTGGACAGGTCTAAAATAGACATCATTTTCATTAATGATCAGAGCAGTTAGCCTGTTTTTTTGGGATATGAACCCACTAAAAGCCTGCCAGGCCAAGGTTCTGGTCTGAATGTTTCCACACTGGTCACGTCTCTTCTTGTTTCATGACTGGGGACAAATGAAGGCTACACTTCCAAAATAGTTTTGCAGAAATTCTTAGGAAAGGTCAGGCCTTGACATGCTAGGTCACAGACTGGTTTAGATATTGTTGTGCTTCTACTGGTAGTTATGGCACAGTTGATAGAAAGATCATGGATTTTTGGTTCCACGGATTTGCTTTTAAAATCAAGAGGAAAATTATGAACAAGTATCATAGACTTTCCAGATAGGTAATCTTGAAAGAATCTTATCAAAAAGCACACAGCATAAAAGTTAAACTTGCAGTTGAATTATAGGCAACACAAGAAGGAAGTGATAACCTGGTCAACACAGTGTTCTAAATAAAAACCAAAAGAACTGCGGATGCTGTAAATCAGGAACAAAAACAAAGTTGCTGGAAAAGCTCAGCAGGTCTGGCAGCATCTGTGAAGGAAAAAAGTTAAAGTTTCCCGTGACCCTTCCTCAGGCCCTTCCTCAGCTGTGACAGTGTTCCAAATATTCTGAACAAAACAGTGTTGTTGGGACATTATTCGATGCAAGCTCCCCCACCCACCACCAGCACAGCAGGCATTTTGGCCAATCCTAGATATGTGTGGTCAATATACAAAACATTAAAAAAGTTAACAGAAGTCACAACAAGAGTTAATATCAAACCGACTTTAAAGTTGTACGCACCTTTATCAGCTATAGAGGGTTGAGAAGTATAGTCCCTAGAAAACAATGAAATGCAAATCAGTTTTAAATTTTAATAAAATTATTAAAATGCCAGGTTTAGTTTTTATCATTCTTCAAACTGTTATCCTCCTTATATGATACATAACTCAAGCAAGCTATCAAGGAATCAGAAATCAGAAAAGAGATAGCAAGAATGCAGATGCTAGTCAGAGACAACACAGTGTGCAGCTGGAGGAACACAGCAGGCCAGGCAGCATCAGAGGAGCAGGAAAGTTGATGTTTCGGATCAGGACCCCAGAAGGTGGAGGCTGGTACAATTACAACATTTAAAAGGCATCTGGATGGGTATATGAATAGGAAGGGTTTAGAGGGATACAGGCCAAATGCTGGCAAATGGGACTAGATTAATTTAGGATATCTGGTCAGCATGGATGAGTTGGACTGAAGGGTCTATTTCCATGCTGTACAGCTCTACAACTGTACAATTTATCCAAATGAATACATTTCATCACATAAGTCAGCCTCCACCAGCCATCTTCATTTGTTGACGACGTAAAGTCATCACAGACTTACCATAGGGCTGCTTTCCCATTGAAGACAGACAGTAGTGGTTTAACCCAAGGGTCACCACAACTCAGGTGAGGGGAGAAGTTGAGAAAGACTGTCCTTCACAGTAACCTTAGCTGATGCAGGAATTGAATCCACGCTATCAGCATCAGTCTGCATCACAATCGAACAGTCCAGTCAACTGAGCTCACAACAACTGACAACAGGTGGAAGTGTAGTAGGTGAGTACATAAAAGCACCAGAATTGGAATTTACTTTGTTGTTTTCAAAAAGATGTAGGACAATATTCTTTCAAAACTGCTTAAAACTTAATATTTCAAAAATGCTCAGTACTTAACAGCAATGTTAGAAAGCGAAATTAAAAAGAAAGAACATGCATGAATATAACTGAGGACTATTTTGTGACTGGTGGAGTTCATCTTGTAAAATGTTTCGGTGTTTTTTAAGCATAGCATTACACTGAATGGAATATGCATCACAATAATTATTGATAATATTGGGTCTTAGGGAGGGAGATTTTGGTTGTTACAATATTATGGACCAGACAAGGCCCCCTCAAATATTTTAAGAAGGTAGCCTTGACCATAACGTTTTCTTATTTTAAAAGCAAATGTGAAGGGCTGTGTTCCAGATGCAATGTGACTGGTAAAACTACTCAATGTTAAGCAAAAAAAACAATTTATTTAAATACTATAGTTAAAATACAAACAAAATAAACAGCTTAGAATAACTTAAGTCTATTGGAAAACTAACTAAATAAGAGATACAGTAACTATTACAAATTCACTTTTCCAAGATAGTAACATCCCATAAACAAATCCCTTGGCAAAAGGCAAATTCACTCACAGATTCTGATTTGCAGTTCTCTAATCCAGGAAGAAAAATTCGAGAAAATTCAGATTCAGTAGCAGGCAGGAGCAATCTACTGAATCTTCCAATTTGTTGAGATTCCAACAGCTTTTGATGCTACTGAAAAACCAAAACCCAGAAATCCTGATCTGTGAGAGCTAGCCACACCCATTCAGGCTGTTAAAAAAAACACAAGGCCTCCCAAGCTGTTTACTCAAGTGGTTTTGGTACACTACTCAGTTCCTCTGCCTTACAAGCTCTCTTCAAAAAAGACAGGACAAAATAACGTCTTAAAGCCACAGCATCATCACACAAGTAGAATTCCTCATCTGTTTCCAGGTGTCACAGTTCAGTGAAGCAAGATACGTAGATGTGAATGAGTGTTGCTACTGAACCAAACGAAAATTCAAGTAACCTCTTCCTGAGGTCCTCATCTTCAAAGAACCAGACTTGAAATATTTCAATTCATTTGACGTGATATCAAGAAACTTTACTGAAGGCACAGGATAAAGCACAAACCATTGACTTGCTGATTGCAGTGTTAAAGCCTTAGACAGGCTGCTTCAAGTACAGTTACACTGATAACTATCCAACAATGCAGAAAATTGCCAGGATATGTTCTGTTCACAAACAAGAAAGAAAAATCTAGAGTTCAAGAGAAGGGAACCCTGGAATGACAAGAGATATTGCGGCTTTGACCAGAAAAAAGGAGGAGGCATGGCTCAGGTACAGCTAGCTGGGATCAAGGGAATCCCTGGAGGTACATAGGGGATACAGGAGTTTACTGAAGAAGAAAATCAGGAAAGTGAAAAGGGGGCATGAGATAGCTTTGGCTGAGAAGATTAGGGTGAATCCAAAGACATTCTTTAAGTATATTAAAGGAAAAAAAAACTAGGGAGAGAACAGGGCCTCTCAAGGACCAAATGGACAAGTATATGTGTGGAACTGCAGGGGATGGATGAGGCCCTCAATGTGTATTTCTCCTCTGTGTTTATCGTGGAGAAAGACATGAAGACTTGGGAACTTGGGGAAATTAGTGGCAATGTCTTGGGGACGGTCCATATCATGGTACAGGAGGTTTGGAAGTATTAGAATATATGAAGGTGGATAAATCTCCTGGTCCTGATCAGGTATATCCAAGAACCCTACAAGAGGCTACAGAAGAAATTGCAAGGGCCTGGATCATATATTTGCATCATCGTTAGCCACTGGTGAGGTCCTGGAAGACTGGATGGTAGTGAATGTTGTGCCCTCATTCAAGAAGGGCTTCAAAGAAAAACCTGGGAATTATAGACCAGTAAGCTTAACATCTGTGTTAGGTAAGTTACTTGAGAAGGTTCTGAGAGATATGATATACGTGCATTTAGAAAGACAAGGTTTAATTAGGAATAGTCAGCATGGCTTCGTATGTGGGAGATTATGCCTCACAAATTTGTTAGAGTTCTTTGATAGAAGTGACCAGGAAGGTTGACAAGGGCAGGGTGGTATCTTTATTCATTAACAGGATGAGGATGTCATTGGCTAGACAGCATTTATTGTCCAACCCTAATTGCCCAGAGGGCAGTTCAGAGACAGCCCACAGTGCTGTGGGTCTAGAGTCACATGTAGGCCAGACCAGGTAAGGATGGCAGTTTCCTTCCCTAAAGGACATCAGTGAACCAGATGGGGTTTTCCTGACAATCGACAATCAACCATCCTCGAAGAAGGAGGTGCCGCGATGTTTGGGACTGAGCCAATTCTACAGGAAATTTGTACCAAACTTTAGCAGTGTGGTGGCACCGCTGATGGATTTGTTAAAGAAGAATACGAAACTCTGGAGGCATTTGAGAATTTAAAAGCAGTGTTAACCACTGCACCGGTTTTAGCCTTGCCAAATTTCTTAAAACCCTTTAAAGTCACTATTGATGCAAGTGATATACAGGTTGGAGCTGTGTTGTTACAGGAGGATGATTGTGGAATTGAAAGGCCAATCAGTTATTTTTCAAAGAAATTCAATATCTATCAAGGAAAATATTCAACAGTTGAAAAAGAGTTATTGAGTTTGATAATGGCATTACAACATTTTAACGTTTATATTACTATGTGTCAGAGATGATTGTGTACACTGATCACAACCCTTTGACATTTTTGGAAAGATTTAAAGATAAGAATACCAGACTATTTCGTTGGAGTCTTATGTTACAAGCATTTAATTTACAAATTGTACATGTTGCGGGTCGTGAACGTTATTGCAGATGTGTTTTATCGGGTTTAAAAGACAATGTGAATATAAGACAGAAATGGTAGTGTTCAATGTTATAAATGTATACAGAATTAGTATGAAATACGTAACTTTAGATTAATGACCTATGTATCTAGTAATAATAATGTTAAGAATTAGAAAATAAAAATGAAACCATCTTTTCTTCATGATGGTTCATTTTTTTCTTAAGGGGGCAGGTGTTGCGAAGTTGGGTATAATATTTGTGGATTGGAAGGCAGGACATTAGAATTTGTTTGTAAAATAATGGTAGAGAAGATTGCATGGTCCCTTAAAAAGATGATGCGCTTTTTTAGGCTTGGAGACTAAAAGATAATGTCTGTAGGCAACTGCAGATGCACAAAATGTTCTTGAAATTGAAACATTGTATCAGAACAGGAGTACTGTTTGCAGGCAAAGCAGCATTTTTACCAAGGCAATACGTGTTTGAATTTAGCCAATTAATGAAACCAAGCCCTAGATACCAAAACCCAATTAAATTTAAATCTGATGATTTTGACAACCTAGGGCCAATCCTATTGTAAGAAATTAATAGGTCATCAAGGGTATAAAAGAAGAGGGTATTTGAAAATCGGGGTGAGAGCAAACTGTCATTCGAAGAGAAACTCACTGGCTCTCACAGAAATCTCTAGGCTCTCAGAGTAAGCACCATCTAAATAAAGGTACTATGGCACTCTTCGCTAATATTCTTGATGCACGAATTCGATGGAGAAAGATGTTCCTGAATGGAAAACAGTGGACAAGGCAAAGAACATTCTGGAAGACTTATCCTGGCTGTAACTTCGAGAGACTAAGTTTTAATTTTTTTCATTACTTTGGTTTATATAAGTGGGCTTGTATCTACTGGAACACACACCATTAGAATTTTGTTTTATTCGGGAATAAAGTAGTTAAGGGGGGAATTCTTCGGTTTGTTAGTAGTTCTGTTAATTTGTTCACTGTTAGAGTTAGATAAACAAATTGTTCTTGTTGCTTATAAAGTATCAGGGATTTCTTTTATTTAACCACTCCTTTATAACAAATTGGAAGTGAAAGACAGGTTATACCATTTTTCACACTTCCTTTAACAGATCATGAGGACTGGTGAGCTTCTCTAGGTGTTTCAGTTTTAATTATAACAGAGGTGTTAACCTCTCCTTTGTAACACAAGAAAAAGAAGGAGCCATATGTCAGGTATAGGCAGCTGGGATCAAACTTTGAGGAGTATAGAGGGTGTACTATACCTAAGAGGGAAATCAGGATGGTTAAATGGGGACATAACATGGCAGATATGGTAACGGAGAGTTCGAAGAGATTCTACAAGTATATTAAGGGCAAAAGAGTAACTAGGGAGAAAACAGGGTCCCTTAAAGATCAATG